GAGCAACTGACAAGTCACCAGCACTTTCTCCTTTCATTCTTTCTTCTTTTTATACTAACTCCGATTTTTACCTGCGATCATCAGGACACAAAACCACAGAAGATATATGGCATCAGCGGTTAGGACATCCATCACAAGGGATTCTAAATCATTCAATTCGAGCAGCAGTTCTTGATAAAAACAGTTTACTTTTACCTGATGGCACGGAGATGAAGCCGCAGTCTCGTCCGACGGTTTGCACCACCTGTCCAGTTGCCAACCTTACGCACGATCCATTTCCAAGTCACTTTCCTGGCTCAACCCGTTATAAACTGATGCAGAAAGTTTACAGCGACATACTCAACTTGTCTGAAGCAGGACCTAAAGATGAGAAGTATGTAATCACCTTCATCGAAGCGTTCACACGCTATGTCTGGACAGCTAACTTACCTGCGCGCCATCTCGCTCACTCCGTCTTCGTCGCGTGGCTCGCTGTCGCTGAACGAGAGTCAGGAGTGAAACTGCAAGAATTTCAGAGCGATGGTGCAGGGGAGTACACCAGCAACACCTTCACAGACTACCTTCAGACACTCGGCATCAAACGGAAGCAGTCGCTGCCACATGCACACCAACAGATGGGGGTAGCAGAAAGGAAGAACAGAACTCTGCAGGAGAAGATGCGTGCTCTGCTGACGCAGGCAGCCCTTCCACCGCATTTTTTGCCGTATGCGATGGACCACGCCGTGCTGTTACACAATCTTCTCTCTTCAACGTCCCTGCTCGAGTTCGTCAACGTCCCTGTTTGAAAAGTTTAAAGCACGATGGGTCGTCCGCGGATTCGAGCAGACTTACGGCATCGACTATGAACTAGCATTTGCTCCTGTCGGCCGACATAAAAGTGTTCGAATTCTGCTTTGTGTCGCCGCCTGCCGTAATCTCCGACTTCGACAAATCGACGTATCGAATGCGTTTCTCTACGCGCCTGTCGATGCACTCATCCTGGTAGAGTACCCGCATTCTTACACTACTAACCCACCGAGCGTTTGCCGTCTACGAAAGTCCCTGTACGGCATTAAACAGGCACCACGACTCTGGCAGCAGTATCTTCACTCGCAGCTGATCACTGCCGGTTTTCGTCAACTACCGCACGATCAGGAAATGTATCGACTGACCGACGGCAGCAACTACATTTTACTCGTTGCCTACGTCGACGACATCCTATATGTCAGTACTACCGATTCTCTTGCCGAGACCTTCATACTGAAACTACAGAAAAATCTACAGCTTACCGTCTCCGATACAGTCTCACAGTTTCTTGGACTGAACATTACCTGTTCACCGACAACCATTCATCTCACCGCTTCGAAGTACGCAGCAACTCTCGCTGCCCGCTTCAACCTCACGCCTACTACAGTCTCTACGCAGTACCGCTCATTACCGACTGACCACAAACCGAACACCGCACTGTTAACTTCAACCGATTTACAGATCTATCAACAGCAGCTAGGCTGTCTACTCTTCGCAACTGTCACTTGTCGTCCTGATCTAGCCTACGCGGCCAGTCAGCTCGCTCAGTTCCTACGCCGTCCTGAGGAGGAGCATCAGCTTGATCTACTTCGTGCGCTTAAGTATTTTATCTCGACACCTGACGTCGGATTAGTCTACAACGTCATCGGCTGTAAAACACTCTATCTACATGGTTTTGTCGACGCCGATCACGCTGCTGATTCTACTAATCGACGGTCGTGCACTGGGTTCATCTATCGACTGGAACCTATCGGACCTATCTCTTGGAATTCTACGAAGCATGAGCTAATTGCACTCTCCTCTGTTGAAGCTGAGTTCATTGCTGTCTGCACAGCAACACGCGAAGGACTTTACTTACAGGAACTGTTGGAAGAAGCGAAGTTGACGACAACTACCCAGTTTACCCTAGAGTGCGACAATCAAAGTGCAATTCGCATCGCACATCAACCTGGTTTCGTCAACAGGATGAAACATATTTCGCTTCGTTACTTTTTCGTCAAAGATGAAGTCGAGAAGGGGAGGATGCGATTGGTCTACTGTTCGACCAACGAAATGGCTGCCGATTTTCTCACGAAGAAGCTGACACGACAAAAGTTTCAGTACTGTAACAAGCTCTGCGGAATCTTCAAGAAGTGACATTATCGACGTTACAGAAATGAAGGGGAGTGTTGTGATATAATTGGTACTTAGCATTTCTGTAAGTCGATTAAATATAGTTAGTGTCGAATCTTACTGTAGAACATAAGTCCGTAGGATGACGTCAGCAAATAGCGCTCATCATAGGACAGTCGTTTCAGTCACGCGAACAGTCGCACCTCTTCATTATCATCTAGGGCGCATAGCGCGATAGTGACGAACAGGTACATTAGCGAATAGGTACTTTTCGTAGAACTAAAAATCTCTGTCAGGTCTTTTCATTATTAACTTTAATTACACGCAAGTTCGCGTACTCAGGTTATTCAACCTTGACAGTTACATTTTACAAGACTTCCGCTGTCTTACTAGTCTACCTTTCCAGCAAAGATCCTGGACCAACACTTGAGGATTTGCCAAGTGTTCGTGTTTATAGTTTATACTTAGTCTACTACAACACCAGACGATTTACTTCAAAAGTAAAAACTGAATAATGAACTAGAAGTGGAAACCTAGAACAAATACTAGCTGGTTGTACTCACTAGAAACATACCCCAGTCTAGCCTATAACTTGTACACAGCTAACATGTATAAGTTGACACTTCACTCACAGCTTATCTCTACCGGATTCCGTCAGCTACCGCATGACCAGGGAATGTAAATCTGACCGACAGCCAGGCCCCCAAATTGGTTTTGGGGGACGCTGATCCCTCAGTGTCCCCTGCCATTCCTTGGTTTGGTCATCAGCGTCGCCCCCCGAAAAAAGGCTGAAAAATCAGGGTAGCCTAAAAAAAAATCGCTGATCAATCAGTGTTGCACCTAGATTTTACGCTGATCCAAAGTTTCCATTGAACATACCGTAGTAACGAGACATTTAATATGAACGTTCACACGAAAACGAAGGCCTTGTTCAAAGAATCAGACCGAAAACAGAACAGACTGGCCCAACGAGAAAGTTCGACTTATTTGACGGTCCCATAAAGTCAATCCGACACATAGTCATCACGAAATTGATGGCCAAGAAATGTGAAATAGAAGTGATTGGAACGTGAGCCGTTCGATCGTCGTCAAAAGTCAATCTATGAACAGCGCCACACAAATTGCAATCGTTTGATTGGTTGGCTGTATTGTGTCAGGTTTTGTAGGCGTGCGCAAAAGTGTTGGACGGGGGGATGTTGTGGGTGGAATGTCTTGTCAAAAGACTAGCTTAGCTAGGAAGCCATAGAATGGCACAAGGTTTAGCTAGGAGCTAGGAGGAGCCATGAGAATGGCGAGAGGTTTTAGGTGCTAGGAAAGTTGAGGAGAGAAAAGAGTGTTGGATTAGAAGAGAGGGGAGTACAAGGAGGGGTTTGTACCCCCTACAGAAAGGTTCAGTAACAACCTACCAAGCCTATATTAAATTATAACTTATATAATTTGAACACACCCCCTAGGCTTGGTAGTCACATGCCCACACACACCCACACCCCCTAACCTAGCACCCCCATTCCAGCCACAGTGACAGCGACTCTAGGTCGGTCGACCCACGGTGCGTGAGGCGGCGACGTCGACCGCAGGGGCTGCGGCGGCGACGGCAGCAGCGGCGGCAGTGTCGACAGCGGCGGCGGCGGCGGCGTGCGGCTGCGTGGCCCCGACGCAAGCGGCGACAGCGGCGGCGGCGGCGGCTTCGACAACAGCGGCAGCGGCGGCGGCACCCGCACCTCTCGGTGACGTGGCCAGGCCCCGCGACGGTGGGACGGCCGGCGGGAGTCAGCCGTCGTCTGCGGAATGGAAGAGGGCACAGGGGAAGGAGGGGGGTGGGGGGGGGGGGGGGCGCCACAGGCTGACATGCGGGCGGCCGGTCTAGCGGCGCCACAAGCGTCACGCGGCCGGCTGCAGCCCGACGACGCCATCATGGAGCGGCGTCGATGCCGCAGCGGGGCGTCGACGTTGCGACGGCAGCACGACGTTGCCGTTACGCCGACCGCGCGCTGTCGCGTAGACGCCGCGGCAGCGTGACGGCGCCGTCACGTCGCGACAGCATCTTGACGCGACGGCGGAGCTGCGGCACGACGGCGCGGCCACAGCAGCTGGACGCGGGCGCCATGGACGTCGACGGCGGCGCCGCGGCACGACGACGCGGCCACAGCAGCTTGACGCGGCCGCCATGGCAGCGCGAGATAGAGAGAGAAACGAGCACGCAGCGGAAACGCGAGGAGCAGGCCCACACGGAACGAACTGCTCTAATACCATGTCAAAAGACTAGCTTAGCTAGGAAGCCATAGAATGGCACAAGGTTTAGCTAGGAGCTAGGAGGAGCCATGAGAATGGCGAGAGGTTTTAGGTGCTAGGAAAGTTGAGGAGAGAAAAGAGTGTTGGATTAGAAGAGAGGGGAGTACAAGGAGGGGTTTGTACCCCCTACAGAAAGGTTCAGTAACAACCTACCAAGCCTATATTAAATTATAACTTATATAATTTGAACATGTCTCTCTAGCCTAAATATGGAGGACTCGGCCGTAAATTCTAAGTTTTGCCGGGGGGCCGGAGGATCGTCTCTTTTTGTGAGGACTTAGCCGAAAACCAGCGGTTGCTAGTAGTGTTGGAGAAACGTCTCTAGTATAAATGACTTAGCCGATATTAAGTTGTTGCACGGGGGTTTGGAGGATTTCACGTTCGGACTTCGCCGATGTGAAGTGCGTGGGTGGGAGGGTTGTCTCTAGATATGGGGGACTTAGCCGAAATTTGTGTTCAGGGTACAACCCCCCTATAGCGCTGGGGCATCAGTGTACACTTGTACAAAAACGCTGAAAAATCAGTGTAGGAACACAAAACTTCGCTGAAAAATCAGGCTAAGGGTTAAAAAAAAGGCTGAGCAATCAGCGTAAGTACCAGAAAAAGGCCTGAAAAAAGGCTGAATCAGCATAAAAAGGCTGCAATTTGGGGGCCTGCCGACAGCAGCAACTATATTTTACTCGTCGCCTACGTCGACGACATTCTCTACGTCAGTACTACCGGTATGACCACGTAGTACTATATTTGGGCAAATACAGGAACAGAAAATACTGGAAAAATATGCGCCACAAGTATGTTTGGAAATGCAGGGACCATACTCAATAACCATAGCCTGTGCCTTGGTTGTATCCAGTGCCATAATTGCCCTGTTGGTAACCGGGTTGCTGGTAGTTACCCACCGGATAGCCACCTTGGGGATTTGGATATCCACCACCTCCCATTCCCATGCCCATGCTTCCTGCCATGGGCCCTCCCATCGCTCCCATGCCTCCACCGCCCATCCCCATACCCCCGTACCCACCACCCTGCATACCATAGCCACCACCACCACCACCCATTCCACCCATAGCCCCCATCCCCCCCATTCCTCCCATTCCTCCTCCCATTCCCATCCCGCCGCCCATGCCTCCCAAACCTCCCATGCCCCCCATGCCTGCCCCCATACCCATGCCAGCAGCACCAGCACCGGGCCCCATAGCGCGCCCCATGGCAGCGGGCACACCCCCCTGCTGCCCGCCCTGCTGCCCCTGGCCTTGCTGCCTGGCGCTCTCCTCCTTGCGCTCGCGCGCGGACCTCAGCTTTGACTTGGGCATCACGCCCACCGAACTCAGCGGGTCGTCCGGCTCTGAGGCCCAGCCAGGGGGGGGGAGGGGGGGGAGGGATTCGAAAGGGAGGGGTGATGGAAGAGAGGAAGGAGTGGAGCAAGTGCGAGATGAGGCAAACAGGACTTAGCACGGCCACAACCATGCGCAATGCTGCGTGCATGTCAAGCGAAATCAGTCAGGCAGTACATGATGAACTCGAGGCTGTAAGTATCCCCAGCATGCTGCATGCCAATTAATGACGCACCTCTGGAGATGTTGAGGTCCACGAGGCCGGCGCTGAGCACGTCGGAGAACACACTCGACTTCTTCACATCCGCACTCGCACTCGCACCACCATCTCCCTCAGCAACAGGGGAGGTTGCTGAAGCAGGTGCTGGCACGGAGGCGGGGGGAGCGGAGTGAAGGGCGGTGGGAGGGGGAGGAGCGGGAGCAGGGGTGGAGAGAGGTGCAGCATCTGAGGCCGAGAACGCATAGGGCGCAGCAGCCTGAGCGGGGTCTGGGTAACCAGGAGCCGTGAATGCTGGCTGCTGCTGCTGCTGCTGCTGTGGCAGGGGCTGTTCAGACGAGAAGGAGTAGGGTGGGGGCCCATCGGGTGGGAAGGCCTGGAAGCCCTCCTGAGAGCCCGGTGATGCTGCAGCAGCAGGAGCACCAGGTGTGGCAGCCGGGGGGCTGATGCGTGTTGCTGCTGGCGGCTGCTGTTGCGGTGGCTGCTGGTACTGCTGACTTGGCTGGCCGTATTGCTGAGGCGGCTGCTGATACTGCTGAGGTGGCTGCTGATACTGCTGAGGTGGCTGCTGATACTGCTGAGGTGGCTGTTGATATTGCTGAGGTGGCTGCTGATATTGCTGAGGTGGTTGCTGATATTGTTGAGGTGGCTGCTGATACTGCTGGGGAGGCTGCTGCTGCTGCTGCTGCTGCTGCTGCTGCTGCTGGTAATGGTCTGGCTGTTGCTGTGCCTGCTGCTGCTGCGGGAGCTGTGAGAACGTGGCTGGGAAGGAGGAATCGCCATAGGCAGGTGGCTCTGACAAGGCATGGCAGATACGGAAGGGAGCAGGGTGGGAGGAACGAGAAACGGATTTGGTGAGGACAGTGGAGAGATAGGAAGAGCGGGCAGCATAAGAAATTGGCGGCAAAGTGAACCTTGGGATGGATGGGAGGAGTGCAGAACAAAAGAGAAAGACACAGTTGGAAGGAAAGGGCATGGCGTGTACCTCCGAACCCTGCCCCAGGTGGCTGCTGCCACTGCTGCTGCGGTGGCTGCTGTGGTGCGGAGCGCGGGTCAAAGTCGTCGTCATCAAAGCCCCCGCCCCCACCGGGGGACACAACTGCTGCAGGCGGAGCAGCAGCAGCAGGGGGAGGGGCATCGGAGGGCGGGTAGGTGTAGGGCTGTGTTGGGCCTGGGCCGTAGGCACTGCTGCAGGGGGTTGCATGAGAGTGAAAGCGAGATAGCAAGATGTGAGGGTTGCGCAGTGCAGTCACAGTCATCTGGAAGATGGTGCATCAGGCTATCATCAGCTGGTTGAAGCTGCAAAGTTTTCAAGCAGAAACGGCTGGAAGCGAAAACGGTTTACCTTGTCGAGAGAGCCCACCTTGCCGAGAAGCCCTCCTCTTCAAACGGGCTGGCGCTGGCAGCTGCAGCGCCGGCCACAGCAGCAGGCCTGGGTGCACTCTGAGGCGTGCCCAACCCGCCCCCGCCCCCGCCTGCACTGCTGCCAGCCGCACCCTCCCCCTCGTGCCCCCTCGCCCTTGCACCACCGCCCCCCGTGCTGCTGTGCTCCACCTCCTCCTCCCCCCCGTGCCTCTCCTTCCCTCCATAAGGCCTGTCCCCCTCGCCGCTGCCCCGTCCACTGTGTCCGCTGTCTGTGGAGTGAACCCTCTCAGCAGAGCCCGTGCTGTACACACTCCTGCCGTCGCCGCCGTAGCTGTTGCTGCCATAGCTGGCTGCCGGGTGCGAGTCCCGGGACTGCCTCTCGGGCTCGTGGTCGCCATACGGGTTCGATGCCCGCCCTGCACCCATCGCTGACGCACCCTTGAACCTGGTGGGAGCAGTGACAAGTGGTCAAGAGCGGTGAGTTGAGATTGAAAAGGTTCTAGAATTTGAAACGTACACCAGTTTTTCAAGGCCAAGCCCACACAGTACAGCAAGTCAAGCGCTTCTGTGTGACTGCACCTGTTGCGGGTGGCAGCAGCGCGCTCCCTGAGCTCAGCGATGCGCGCCGAGTCCCTGAGCAGCGCCAGCAGCGCCTGCGCCTTGGTGCGCACGTTGAGGCCCTGGTCCTTGGCGGCGCTGTCGATGTACTGGAAGTCACACAGGCTCTGAGGGGACCATCCACCACGGGGCCAAGGGGACGGGTGAGAAGAAGAGGGGGGCTCTGTTTGGCAAACGTAGCAAACCAAAGTATAAGGCACTCATACGTTTCAAACGTATGCCACGCCTTTCATTCAAACCACAACCGCTATAGACGGACAAAAAACGGCAATTCTAGCACAACGAAAGAGATAAGCAGCAGAGACGTGCACACCTGGATTAAGGCAGAGCGGTCGCGGAGGTCTCTGATGACTCGCTCTGTGCCGTGCGCCACCAGGTACTCCATCACCACTAGCGACTGGCCAGATGCCGCGTGCAGTGGCAGCAGTTCACCCAGCATGGTGCAACGAGCGCGCAGCAATGAGCGCGCAGCACATTGTAATGCAACAACATAGAAGAGGGCGGGGGGGTGGGGAGAGACATTAAAGCCAGCGAATGCCAGTGAACTAAGAAAGGCGCTACTACCAAACCCATATCTAAGCAAGGGCAGACGAATTCCGCATGCCTCGCGCACAGGCAACAGTGCTCAACTCACCCCGGCATGTGCACTCGCCTCAGCATGTGCACTCGCCTCTTCACGCGCACTCACCTTGTACACGTGGCGCCAGTCCTTGCCGACATCCTGGCATCGCTTCCACAGCACGTTCATGACCATGGAGTACTCGATCCTGCACAGCAGCACAGCAGCAACGCAGCACGGCAGCACAACAGCACCGCAGCACCGCAGCACAGCAGCACAGCAGCAGAGCAGCAGAGCAGCAGAGCAGCAGAGCAGCACAGCAGCACAGCAGCACAGCAGCACCGCAGCACAGCAGCACAGCAGCACAGCAGCATAGCAGCACCGCGCACAGCACACCAGCACCGCGCACAGAGCCATGTAAGTTTAACGCGCATGCGAGCCGGCTGAAGAAGACGACGAATCGCACTCAGTGCGACGCTTCTAGAGGAGAAACCTAAGTGCGGGAAGCTACGAAGGTCAGTAAGAAACGGCATACGCTACGCTGCAGTGGCGGGGGAGAAAGAGCGGGATGCCAGATTCACGACGCAGTAAGAGGAGCGGATCGTACGGGTTGTGCGACGCCCGCGCGAGGTCGACGAGCAGCTGACCGTGAGGCCCCCAGGGCTCGTTGGTCGTCGCGTCCAGGGTCTGCGAGGAAGGCACACACCCGCACGCATTAGCGTCAATGACCTCCAGACACAATCGCCATTCCAGACGCTTCACGTCGAATCCAATGCTTCACGTCGAGAACGCGAGTGCGATACCGTGCTGCGCATGGCAGAGGCCGACCTTGACGGGAATCCAGACACGACATGATGGGATCTATACGTTTGGAGGTGGACAGACGCGAACGGAAACACATGGTGATGAATAAAGCAAGGTTCGCATTGTTATGCCGTCTAGTTCCACTGATTCACGCAATCGCACGCATGAACGAGGGCCGTTCGGAGGCGGTGAAGAGCCGACGACCCACCTTTCGTTCGGCATCGGGAACCTTGAGCACATTCTTGTTGACCTCTCGCTTTCTGAACCGGCGGGGGACAGAGACGGACGAGAAAAGACGAGCACGATAGAAGCAGACCGGAGTAAACGGGGAGGTTGTTCAACAGCATGCAAAGACTATGGAATGGCGTCAGGATTCCAGACAATTCGAGACGGAAGGCAAGAAGGAGCACGGACAAAACGTACATGTCTCTGACTGTACGGTCGAATGCCTTGTAGATCGACGACATGACAACACGCGAGGCTACGAAGCACGATGAAAGTAGAAGCAGGTGGTTGTCCACAGAGGAATACTGTAAACGATTCACAATATTAGGCCTCTTCTAATCCGGTCCCTGATGCTGTGTCAGCGGAACGACATGTCCATGCTGGTGGTGCACTGGCTTCAAATACTTTCTGCTTTTGGCCGTCGAAGTTTCTTCTGCTGCTGTGGGGAGGTGTGGCCACGGCTGAGGTGGTGTGGCGGAGGGAAAGAGGGCGATGGGAGAAAGATCTCGAAACTTGCGCGGCAAACCCGTTGTTGAATATGCGGGTTTCCATTTATTTGCCTTTGCTTCCGAGCTTCGTAGTGTACCCTAATTGCAGGTCTGCATCCCCGATAATAGCAAGGTAGGGTACAATAATTTCGGCCTGACAGCACCCTGCGTCAGGCCCAAAGGCAGTCCATTGCTCCGCCAGCCTCGGCAGCAGCAGCACCGCAGCAGGCGGGTCACCGAATGCTCGCCGCTGTTGTCAGTTCTCCGCCAAAGTTCACGAATCGTGCCGTGCGGAGGACGCACGCCTCCGCCCTGCTCCCCATGCTAGATTGCCTCCCCCCGTTCGAGCCTCCAACACCCCGAGTTTCCCCACGTCAACCCCCACTGCCTCCTCAGCCCCCCTTCACCACCCTACCCAACCGGAGCCCCCGCTGGGCAGCCAGACACGCGCGGGCGTTGTGGTGGCCGTGGCTGGCGAGGGCGAGGCGAGATAATTGTTGTTGAACTTCTAAGGTACAGTATCCACACCAGACACAGAGCTAGGAAGCCATAACGCGTTCGCTGCACCTTGCTCCAAGTTATCCGGACATAGGGTTGAGACTGTTCTGCCCTCAGCATCGTCTTTGCTTAGTTTAGTATCAGAAACCGCAACGACGTCAGCCAATCCCTGACGTAGAATAGCAGCGAGCCGCAATGACAGCGCCAGCCACGAACCCTAAGAAGGAGTCCAAGAAGCCCAAGTGTGAGTTCCCGCCGCCTCGCAACCCTATTCACATTCTCGTCGATTAATTAGTCCCAGAGGCTCGTTCAATTTAATCCGTGTGTCATGGTGTGTCATGGTGTGTCCCCGTCCGTGCCTTCGTTGGCCCGCTTGCCATTTCAGATTCGCGCTTCACGCAGCAGGAGCTGCCGGCGTGCAAGCCGCTGCTGACGCCAGCATGGGTCAGTGCCACGCACGCGTCGTGATCCTCCCCTCCTTTATATCTTTCACGCCGTTTAAGGATTCAGCGAGAGAGGCTAATCTTAGGGATCGCCGAGCACCTCTTTTCTGCGTGTGGTGCCTCAGACTCGGCGGTGCCTGTTTTGCACTCCGCAACGATTCGCCCTCTCTTGTCTGGATTGTAGCCTCGTCCCTTCCCGTCCGCCTCTCCGTCCGCCTCTCCGTCCGCCTCGCTCCACCATCGACGTCCATCGCTCTTCTCTCCCTCGCTGCTTTCTCCTTCCTCGCTGCTTTCTTCTCCCTCGCCTTACATGCGCTGCTCCCCGCCTCACACGCACCTCTCGCCCATGCCTCCTTCGTCCCCCTCCCCCGTCGCGCGTCGCCTCGCTGGTCGGCGCGCAGGTGATCGGCACGCTCTTCCTCGTCGGCGCCGCCTTCATCCCCATCGGCGTCGTCGCGCTCATGGCGTCTAACAGCGTATGTCGGCCTTGTCTCTATAACGAGTATGTCGCTCGTGGCTTTCAGCAACGCGAATGACTTTCGGCTGTCGGCCTGACGGCATCTGGAGTTCCTCTCGCAGCCATTCTCCACTCGTCTGCTCTCCATATCGTCCCCCATCCGTGCTCTAGCGCTTCTCGTTGCGCGTATAGCGTGCGCCCTAGCCTCAGCTCCACCTGTTTACCAGTCGCCTGTATTGTTGCATGTGTGTTGCATGTCTGTCCGTCCGTGCGTGCGCGCGCCCCTGTCGCCCGCAGGTGGTGGAGGTGGTGCAGCGCTACGACGACCGCTGCGTGCCGTCCGCGTCGGCCAACGACGCCGTGGCGTACATCCAGAACCCCGCCACCGTCAAGAAGTGCGACATCCAGATCACCGTCAGTCCGCTCTCTCCTTTGCTCTCACCTCATCGCCCCCTAGCCACTCTCCTGCCTCTCGCTCTCTCACCGCTCGCCAGCTCACCATCACCTGGACCGAGCGTCCATAGCCTCTTTTTCTCGGATCGCTTCCTTTCCGCCCAATCATTGGCCCCCTTTCCTTGATGCCACGCGTCTCACCCTTGCCCGCCGCGTCAGCCTCCTCCCCCACCCTGGGCTCTCCCTTCTTCCCGTTCCCCGCCGGTTGACTCCCTCCAGGTGCCCAAAACCATGCAGCCGCCCGTGTTCGTGTACTACCAGCTCACTAACTTCTACCAGAACCACCGCCGGTATGCGCGCTGCCACCCGCCCTCGTGCCATGCCACCCCATGCCATGCCATGCCTTGCGATGACATGCTGCGCACAAGACAATGCTCTTGTCTTTCAAAGAAGAGTCTCCTCGTAGCACAGCAGTCAAAGCTGCTCTGCCACTATCAGCCGAAGGTTATTCCAAGTTAGCGTATCCCAGTTATGACAGGCAGTTGTTCCCGCTATTTGTTGCTCCCGCTTGTCTCCTCCACACGCGCTCTAGACCCACCCCCCCTCACCTCTTGGCCGTGCCCTTGCCCGTGCCGCTGCAGGTATGTGAAGAGCCGCAGTGACAGCCAGCTGCGAGGCAACAACATCAGCGGCAGCGAATTTGACGTGTGCCAGCCAGAGGCGTACCTGTGGGACAACGGCACGTCCCCCATCCGGCCGTGCGGGCTGATCGCCTGGTCGCTCTTCAACGACACGTACTCCATCACCCAGGCGGGCAGCGGGCAGCAGGTGGCCATCGACAGCAGCAACATCGCGTGGCCCAGCGACCAGAACGGCAAGTTCGCTGGCGTGCCGCCAGAGAACTTCAACACGGTGGATCAGCTCAGGGGCGGGGCTCAACTCAACACGCTTGTAAGCTTGCTTGGAGCTCCATAGATTCTAGTTGCAGTTGCACCACACATTCATGGTGCATGGGCATGCACGAACATGGGTTACACGTGCTTGGTAATATTCATGGCAGTGGTGACATGGGTTTACGCTTGGAGCAGTTGCTCCTTGTAAGGTTATGACCCCCTCCCTGCCACTCTGTCCCACCCTGCCTTGTCTGTGGAGCACAGCTGAACCAGTCGGAGAATCTGATGGTGTGGATGCGCACGGCTGCGCTGCCCACCTTCCGCAAGCTCTATGGCCGCATCAACACGCCTCTGGAGGCAGGCAGCACGCTGTCAGTGGTGCTGCAGAACAACTACAACTCGTACCAGTATGGCGGGGAGAAGGCCCTCGTGCTCTCCACAGCCAGCTGGCTCGGCGGTGCCAATGGCTTCTTAGGCCTCGCGTACCTGACTGTGGGGGGTCTCTGTTTCCTCCTCGGGTTGCTCTTCTTTGTCCTCCTCTTCACTAATCCCAGGTTTGTAGTGGAGAATTTGGCAGATCCATGTCCCTCTTTCCTTTTGCCCCTTGACCTTCCTCCCTCCCTCCTGCGTTCTGCTCCCAGTATTGCTTTCTTCTTTCCACTTTACATGGTTTTAAAAAGGCAGATCTGTCTCTGTTGTGTACGCAGGCCATTGGGCGATACCTCATATCTCTCATGGAATCGTCAGGCTCATCATGTGCCTCCACCCACTGCCATTGCCGGCAGTGCTGCTGTGGATGGCACACAATAAGTGAGGTAGTGCTATGGCTGTTTTGTCTTTTCTATATGGTTGCTATCAGGGCTGACGTTTCAAAAAAACCCTCTGATTTTAGCCCCAAATTTTTTTCCCAAGTCTGAGTAGTCAGGTTTCAGTTTTCCTGGTAGTCTGATTTCTCAGGATCCAGTAACTTTCAAGTCTGATTTCTTTATCAGAAATTAGAATTGAATAATGGTAATGTGAGAGTACACACAAATATATCTAAGTTTTGTATCCTCTAAGAGGTGACTCTATACAGTCTATACAAACATGACAAATACACATGTTTGACACACCCCCTAGACTGCATAGGGGAATACCCTAAACAAGCAGCTCAGGGCGGCACTACTAGTCCAACCTCTGAGGCAAGGGTCTGAGCGACCGGTCAGAAGGAGTACAGACAAGGCAAGCACAAGAGCAGGGCGGCACTACTAGTCCAGCCACTGGGAGAGGACACAAGTCTAGTCTGAGTATACATATAAAGGACAGCACAAAGTCAAGGTCCTAGCAAGTGAGAGGCTACAGGAACTAGACCAAGCTGTACACAGTGCCGCTGATGATCTTTAGGCGCAAGCGCCTTCGTAAAGATATCAGCCGTGTTGGCACCTGAGGCCAAGGGTACTACGCGAGCCTGACGTCGCTGCTGTAGCTCACGCAGGAGGAAGTACCGCAGCTGAATGTGCTTCGCTCTGCCCTCGAGTCGAGGCTCCTGACACAGGAGGATCATGGCCCTGTTGTCAGCGAACAGGACCGGGGCAGAGCTAGGCCGCTCACCTAAGTCAGTGAGCAAGAAGGTCAGCCAGCGGAGCTCCTGTGCCGCCATGGCACCGGCGTAGATCTCAGCCTCACAGCTGGACTGTGCAACAGACGAGGAGCGAGTAGCTCTCCACGAGACAGCACCTGAGCCAAGGCTGAAGCAGTAGCCCTGGGTAGACCGGAGTGTCTCAGCGTCGTCTGCCCACGAAGCGTCTGTGTGCCCAGTAAGGACCGCTGGCCTGCGTCCTCCTAGCACTAACCCCATGCCCGATGTACTAGCAAGATAACGCAGAACCCTCTTAGCGGCAGACCAGTGCTGCGGTCGGTGTCTGCCTGTGGCCACAAAGCGAGCCAGGATGCTGAGAGGGTATGCGAGATCTGGGCGAGTGCAAGTCATCAGGTACATGAGGCAACCCACCAGCTCTGCGTAGGGGCCGCTGGGCTCTACCAACTCCTCAGGCACTGGAGCGGAGAGCCTGTGGTCTACAGGCAGAGGGGTGGGCTGTGCAGAGGAGAACTGAAGGCTGAACCTCTGAAGGACCAGGCGCACCAAGTGTGACTGAGTCAGGGTGATGGTGCGCGCAGCTCTGTCCCTGGAGATCTGCAAGCCAAGGTAACGGCGCAGTTCTCCAAGGTCAGTGCAGGTGTGTCTCTTCAGCAGCTCTGCCTTCACGGAGGCCAGTGCGTCCCTGTCTGCTGTGCCAAAGACCAGGTCGTCGACGTAAACGAGGATGTAGAACGGAGTCTGGCCAGCACGAACGAAGAGTGAAGGGTCTGCAGAAGACGGAAAGAACTGCAGGTCAGCAAGCGTAGTACGCAGAGTGTCGTGCCACTCACGAGGAGCCTGGCGCAGGCCGTAGACGGGGCGCTGCAGGAGCCACTGGGTCCCAGGAGGGAAGGTGCCAGTAAAGCCCGGAGGGCGGCGCAGGTAGACCTGCTCGTGTAGGCTGCCCTGAAGGAAGGCAGTGAAGAAGTCGAGGGAGTGAAGCTCGTAGTCACGCTGAGCAGCTAGGTGTAACAGAACCCGAAGAGTAGTCATCTTCGGGGTCGGAGCGAAAGTCTGGAAGAAGTCCACCCCCTCGCGCTGACTGAAGCCTCTAGCCACATAGCGCGCCTTGAACACAGGCGGCTCTCCAGGAGGGCGCTTCACCTTGAAGAGCCAGCGGCCATCGACTACGTTCACCCCATGTGGGGGAACTGCGTCGACGAAGGTGCCGGTGGATCTCCAAGATGCCATCTCCTGCTCCATGGCAGCTATCCACTGCGAGGCCCAGGGTCCCGAAGTCGCCTCAGCGTAAGTGCGAGGGGTCGGGATGTCGAAAGCGTCTGGGTCACCCTCAGGGACTAGCAGCATGGAACAGAGATGGGGAGCAGCCTCGGAGAGGAAAGCAAGCTCGAACTGGCGGTCCTCCAGGACGTCACTGCCAAGGGCAGGAGCACCCCCGACAGACGGAGGACAGGCAGGGTCAGAGACCAGAGCGGTGGCGTAGTCAAGGCGGCGGGTAGAGGCGAAGTCAGCGACAGCAGCGACAAGAGCGGCAAGGCACGAGACGGGAACAGACGGGTCGGTAACGAGGAACGAGAGGACGAGCGGCACGAAGGTAGTCGGACAGCGGGGGGGGCGCAACAACAAGGGAGGACGGAGGAGGCGACGGCAGAAGGGGAGGACGAGACGCGTGGGAACGAAGCAACATAGGGTGGGAGCGCATGACAGGCGAGGCAGGACGAGCACGGGAGGGACGGTGAGACCAGACGTGCGATGGAGGAGTCGGGTCAGGAGACAGGGGAGGGGACACAGGAGGGGAACGAGGGGGGAGACGGGCCGGGGACGAGTCCGGCGGAGGGAAAACAGGGCCGTAGACAGGAAGAGGAGGAGACGGTCGGGGAGGAACCGACGCAGGGTCGGGGGACGGAAGGCCGAGCAGGCGAAGGGCGGACACCGGCGGGGACTGCTGCTGCGGCGGCACAACGGCGACACCTGGACCGCAAGCTGCTCCTCGGCTACCACCGGCACTCTCCACACCCGCACCCCCAGAGGGACCACCCTCAGGGCGACCGGGACGAGCACCCCCAGAGTCAGCGAACGGGGGCTGCGACGGCGGCGGCGGCAGCGGCGGCGGCGATGGCGACGGCTGCAGCGGCGGCAGGGGCGGCGGAGGAGGGGACCGGGGGGGGGACACCTAGGGAGGGGCGGCCGGCGAGGACTGCACCGGAGGGCCACCAGAGTCAGAAGACTCCTCAACCGGGTCCACGGACGGAAGGGGGGTGACGTGGGAGACACCAGAGGGGGCGGGACGGGGAGGAGGAGGAGGAGGGGCAGGGACTACCGGGGAAGGGGTGACCAGGAACAGGGGGGGGGTAACCGGGGGACCACGGTGGGGGAAGCGGCGGTAGTAGGAGACGGACTCGTCAAAGGTGACGTCACGAGAGTGAAAGAAGCGGTGAGACGGCGGGTGGTAAAAGTGCCAGTCGGACGCGTCAAGGGGAAAACCGAGGAAGACGCAGGGAAGGGTGCGGGCAGTGAGCTTGTCCGTGCCGGAGGCACGGACGTGAGCAAGGCAGCCCCAGACGTGGAACGCAGACGCGTCACCAGGAGACCCAGTCCAAAGACGGGTCGGCGAAACCTGCGGCTGCTGAGGGTGCGGCCACAGGTTAAGCTGGTGAGAAGCGTAGCGCACAGCGAACGGCCACAGAAAATGGGGTGCACCGGCATGGACCATGGAGGTGCGAGCGACCTCCATGACCAAACCGATGCGTCGCTCAGCGACCCCATTCTGCTGTGGGGAGTCCGGTAGGGTGAACGTCTGGGTGATGCCCTCCGCACGACAAAAGCGACCAAGGACACCTGAGGCAAACTCGCCACCACGGTCTGAGTGAAGACGCAAGACAGGGAGACCGCGGTGGACACGCGCAGAGACAAGCCAGGGGATGAGAGCGCCAGGCACGTCGGCCTTGCGCTCCAGGGGAAAGACTGTGGTGTAACGAGTGAAGTCGTCGACAAGCACAAGGAAGTAGCGCTCGCGACGCGGCCCAGGGACGGGGGCGGGGCCCCAGACGTCCAGGTGCAGGGTCTGCAGCGGCGCGGCGGTAGGGGGGAACGAGGAGGAGTGAGGGGCACGGCGAAGCCGACCCTCGACACACGGCGTGCAAGGTGGAGCTGGGGAGGAGGGAAACGCGGGGAGTGAACCTGGGAGACCAAGGACAAGACCGTGCTGGGACATGTGACGCAGACGCGGGAGCGCAGGGTGACCTAGGCGGTGGTGCCACAGGAGGGTCGGGTGAGTGAGGGGGTGACAGGAGCAGGCAGCAGCAACCTGGGAAGACACAACCACCTGAGGGGGCGCTCCAGTCGGGGGGGGCACGGTGTCCAGAGTGAACAGGCCGGACACCGGGTCCCGGGGGAACGTGGACAGGGGGGCACCAGTGGCGGCCTCGGTACAGACAGCATACCGCTCGTGACCAGGGAACGTAGTGGTGACGCCAAGGTCCTGGAGGCAGCCGACACCGACTAGGTTCCTGGAGAACGAGGGGATATGCAGACCTGTAAGAGAGCCCGAAGGAACCGCCGGACAGGGAAGGGTGGTGGAACTGCGGGCGACTACCGGACCGCCGGAGGGGTCAGCAAGAGAAACGGCAGCAGGAACAGGAAGCGGCGTCAGGGTGGTGGAGTCGCGGAAGAAATACCGAGAGGCGCCAGAGTCCAAGGTGAAGGAAAGCGAAGCCGAGGGGTCTGGCGACGGAACGACGGTGGAAGCACCAAGACTACACAAAGCAGGGGATCCTACGCCTGACGCAGCAGGGGAGGCTAAGCTAGGCACACCTACACTAGGCAACAGTGAGTAATAAGTCGGAAGCACACTAGAGTCATCAGCATACATCACATGCAGAGCAGAAACAATGGCATCCATGTCCATATCAAAGATCTGAATCTGACGACTAAGCAAACTGTGCCAGTCCGGGAGGTCTGGCGACGGGCCGTAACGCTAACGAAAGAGGTCGTCCAGGCGACGAAAGCAGCGGGGAGTGGAGTGACCGATCTTACCGCAAACGAAGCCGCGGCGAGGACCGGTCTGGATCTGGTACTGACAACGCCCGCCGGCAGAGCCACCACGCGGCACACCACCCCGCGCCCGTCCACCGCCAGCGCCGGGCCACCCTGGCGGGAGAACGCTCGTCTGCCGCGTCTGCGACGGCTGCTGCGGCTGCTGCGAAGGCGGCGGCTGCTGCGGCTGCTGCAACTGCAGGGGCGGCGACTCCGCTGGACTGGGCAGGGTCCCCTCGTCCGCTCCAGCACCAGGCGACCCGACCCCACCACTACCCCCGCCCGCACCCCCGCCGCCCCCTCCGCCACGCCCAGCCTTGGGGCGGCGGCCCTTCCGAGAACGGGCCTGCGCTGCAGCAGCAGTCTCAGCCACTGCGGCAGAGCCGTCGGAGAAGGTACACTGAACGGGGGCACAACCCTGAAAGATAGGGACCGGC